CCCGTGTTCCTCGTTCTGCCGAAGTGCCCTCACTGAGGGCAGTACTCCTAAAAGTGAGTCCAACTGCAATCACGGCCAAAGCTTGTTTTGTTTTTTGGGACATACGGATTTGACATGGGCCCAAAAATTTGAAAACCTTCTGACGCTCTGACCCTGCCCCGAGCCCGCCTTTTACTTCTTGTGGCGACAAGTTATTTTGCTGCAAGGCTGAGGCCGTGAACTGGAGGTTCAAATTACCAGTACCTTCTCAGCTATCCATGCTGAGCCTAAAATCGCCCCGCGCGCCAAAGAAAAACGAACCGGCGCGGGTGTCATTTTGGCTGGCGCCACCAGCCATTTCGGTCCGGTAGTACCGAACCGCGCTTGGCTCCTGAATATACCGGCGCGTATTTGATTTTCAAGTGGGAAGAGCTACGGGTGGTTTAAATATATATGAAACGTTGAAAACAGTGAAATCAAATCATTGGCTGCATTTCAGGATGCCCTTGTACTTATCAATACAAATCATTTGCTCATAATCAAGAGATGAGTATACAATGCATCCAAATCAAAATATGTTCTCATAATCTATATAGACAATAAGAGAGACAACTAGGCGATGGATCAAGAATAATGCGTCAGATACATTGAGGGCAAGATTGGCAGATAGTGGCACACTCACCAGTGTCTCTCATTCACACTTTTCTGTGCCAGGATGCTTAGCATCCTGCATAGTACCCTGTGCTCAGAAGGGTGTTCTCAGCATCCTCCTCCTGCTTTGTGTCCTGTACTCAGCATCCTGTTCTACCATCGTGTCCTGCTTAGTATCATATACTTGACATCCTGGTTCTGGTTTGTATGCTGCATTCACTTAGCATCCTGCTCACGTCTACAGTCTTCCCCCGAACAAAACACACGTGCGTAATTTACGAATACAATGCACGAGGTGTGTTGTATTCGTATATAACGCCTGTGCGTTACGCAGCGGATTTAGGGTACCAACTTTTGAAAATGGACCCCCCCAAAAAAAAATTACTATATGACATATATGTGCTTATACCTGCTTATACCTGTGAAAAACACAAGGGCTGGAGAGGAAAGGGGGCCACTGTTCGAACACTGGCCTCGTTGCCACCAGGCCCAGTATTCGAACAGTCGGCGCCAATACCGGCTGTATGTACCATTCGAACTGTGTAGTGCAGAGTGCGCCACAGCTCTGTCGATGCAGCTCTGCTGCCAAGACCCACCATGCCACGACATGCCAAGATCCATGCCACAACAGCTAGCCGCCAAGATCCGCCATGCGCACTGTGCGTGCACTATCGATATGAGCGAAGAACTCTCGCCAAGATAGAGCCGATGTTCGATTGTCAGAGGGGGGGTGAGTGAGGGGGGCAGTACTTCGTCCAATAGAACATATGTGCGCACTATTCGAATACGACATGCGTGCATACTATTTGAACCTGTGTGCTATTTGGATTTGAGGGAGCAACTTTGAGAAATCGACTTTTCCTGGGAACGTCGAATAGTACATACGTGTGTTTTGTTCGGGGGAAGACTGTAGTGTAATGACCTGCCAAACACGGACTGAGACACACAGCTGACTTCTGGGTTTTGCTCATGGAATGTATGCCTTGCTGAGTTTCCCGCCTGTTGCTGAGTTTTCTACGTCTGTGTGTGTGCGTCCTTGCTGGTCTGCATGCCTGTTTGAGTGCTTGTCGGCTTGAGTGTGCGTGTGACCCGCAAGGGCACTTGTTCGTTCAGAAGGCCCGAAGGGCCGGTACTTACCTGTGGCCATGACATTGAGGGTTGCAGTGGGGAAAACACTCGTGTGGCAGAGAAGGAGGCCCGCGACACTTAGAGCAGCGGACAACACTCAAGTAGCAGGTAGGCCGGTACCACACCAAGTAGAGGTAGATGTGCCGGGTACTTGAGGCCGAGCAGAAGAAGACAAAAGTTGGCATTTTTAGAGGCCCAGTAGTTGTAGGCTAGGTCTAGGCGGGTACCAGTCCAACCAGTCTGAGTCTAGGGCCTGTACGGGCAATATCAGAGTCTGCAATGATGTTTCCCTCCGAAAGGGAGGACGTACCGGTTGCTTGGAGGCTGCGCGGCCTAGGAAGTCACTTGCCAAGAGACAAGCAGGCCGCTATATCTCCAGGAGGAGCAAAGTGCTCCTCCTCGTTGCCGGTGTGCAAGTTTCGCGACACAATGGTTGGATCGCCGGCTGGAGCAGCGCTAGCACTCAGCGCAGCGCTGCTGGGGAAGGAGCAAGGACCGAGAGAGGAGGACAAGGACGAGGAAGAGGGAGAGCGCCAGAGGTACTTACCTGGCTATGGTGGATGCCATCTTCATCACCTTGGTGGGCGCTGCATCTGGAAGGCCCCAGTTGCCAGTTGGGGTAGAGCTACACCAAGAAGCTTCGAGGCAGAGTCAGGCATGGCGGCCTGAGCTAGAGCAGCCATGGCTGCTTTGCGTTGACCTTTGCACAGCAGGGCGATGCCCTGGTAGTCCGCCATAGCCTCAGCTTTGGAGGAAGGAGGAAGAAGGGTGGCCATGGCTATGGTGGACCTCATGTGATACCTGCAGTAGAACATGGAGTCGGACACTGATTCTGGTTCAGCCATTCAACATTATTATTATTGTTTCTTGTTTGGATAGGAGGGGAGGAGATAAAGCGGAGGAGAGTGTTGGTGAAGAAGAAGGGAATTCTCATTGGTCGTTGCTGGTGTACATCTTCTTCTTCTTCTTCTTTCTTCCATCTTCTTGTTCTTCTTCTTTCCCTCTCTCTCATCTCAAGTTCATTCATTTCTTTTTGCAATTGGACGGCATTGTACTTTCTCATGAATGTGTACTTCAAAATTGGCCAGGATCAAAACAGTAGTATCCGTAACTCACTTAGTATCCTGTTCTTGCTTACTATCCTGTGCTTAACAACCTGCTCCTGCCTACTATCCTTTGCTCACTTAGCATCCCGTACTTAGCATCCTGCTCCTGCTTAGTATCCTTTGCTCACTTAGCATCCTGCTCCTGCTTAATATCCTGTACTCAAAGGATGTCCTTAGCATTCTGCTTCTGCTGTAGTATTCTGCAGCTAAAATGATGTACATCCTGCTAAGTAGAGATAAGTTTCATGCTTGAGCAGGCACCCACTCACCTTGGCGATTGCCATACGGAGACAGAGATGATCGGCAGCTCAGCCCCTGATCACCAATTCTGTTTGCCTTGAATAATGGGCCTTCCTTCTCCTTGAGCGGAGACCCACGAACACACTGCACAACAAAGCAACAGGTGCAGGTACCACAACAAAGCAACAACCCTCGACAACAGTTAAATCCTTAATTTTCCACACCAAACGAACTGTGGATGAGTACTGTATTATTTGAAGTGTTCTGAGATTTCACATGTTCATATCACTCTCCAAGCTCCAAGGTCCAAATTGATGATATTGCTCACTCAGGGAATCGAACCTGCGACCTGCTAGAATCAAAGCAGAATACATAACCACTGGGCAAAGTGAGATAGGATGAAAGTAAATCCAGACGATTCATGCTTCATGATCCTAACTCAGCATGGTTAGTACGAGGACCCAGTCTCTACTCGGATTCGACTGGAGCCAATGATCACCTGAGCCGTTCGACCCAGGTTGCATGCCAGCTAAATCCAAGCACGATGTTCCGTCTGCCCAAGCAAGACATGCAGCATGAAAGTTGATTTCCACCCTCCACGGTTCAAATCACATGGTTGGAGGTTGGTTGTAAAGTGGTTTCAACACATGCTGATGTAGTAAACCCAACATGTATGCATGGTAAGTCTGGCCACGGCCGAGGGAGGTCCATCTATGGCCGTGGGTCTGTCCCACAGAACTTGGGGCTCACTGATGTCCTAGCACTGCAATCGTCTCGGCTCCAAGTAGCAGCACCACATGCTACCTGATATCTGGGAGGTCGGCCCTCAGAACCAGCAAGACAGCTTGCGCTCTCCCAACCCATTGGCCGATTGTCGGGTGCATATCAGCAAATACCATCATCACGCCATACAATTGAATTGGAAAGCCATGCGAGAGCCTCCACAGCTATCGTGTCAGCGCAAAGATAACCGCAAACATGCGACAGGTAGATTCTTGCTGAGGCTGTGATATCATGTCGAACTTCGAAGACACCACAAACAAGCTGGATTGTTTGCGAAACCGAGCATCGAAAAAATAACGACGATAGGACTTCACACTCACACAAGGATGGATCAACACAATGCTCTGATCATTTATGCCTATGACATACAAGACAAGCCTCTTGTTGCTCGGTTTGACCGAGTGGTAAATCAACAGCTCCTCCAGACTGACGAGTGTCTCGTCAGAGGGGGAAACATGGGGATGAAATTTGAGCAGGGCAGATGTCTGACAAAGAATCTTGGCTTTATCTAGCACTTAAACGCTGTTTTCCCAAACCAATCTCAAGAGCGACCATTCAACTTGCACAAGTGGTAGTGCGCCAGAACTGACAGATTGCAGCTGCAATCTAACGTCTGGAATCTGGACGGCCAACTACCGCATGCCAATAGAGAGCTTCGTAGACGACCCGATCCACAAGGACACAGAGTGACCTTGCCAACCACGCTACTCCTTGCAGACAACTTCACCACCCTGATCAGGGGGTTGGACTCGTCCTTTCAGGCTCTTACAAGGGCTATGCAGGCCTTTCATTTGGCCTCTGAAATGTGGATTAACTGGCAAAAACCGACAGGCTGGTGGCTGGCATGCATGCCAGTGCCTCCACAAGATTTCACATGGCAAGACAAAGGGACCTCGCTGAGATACCCAGGTATTAAGCTAACCAACAGGGGTCCTATATCAAGCTATGGCTCCCGAAATCCGCGAAGTTCGACGCCTGGTCCACCATCTATACCTCGTTTTTTGGCAGGCACTCATCTTGAATGCCTCCATCTTTTCTATGCTTTGGTACGCCACCACGATTTGGACTCCTGAAATTCACGTTCTAAAGCCCCTCAAAAAGAGGGTAACCGCATTCCTTTGGACAGGTAATCATGTGAAACCGAACTTCATACCTAAGATGGCATGGAAATACATGATCCAACCGAAGGGCAGAGGAGGACTGCTAATCCTGGACCTGGAAACATCGACCAAAGCTCTCCAAACAAAATGGATTGCGAGGCTGCTGACCCACCACCGCCTGCCCTGGACCTCATGAGGGGTATGCAGTATTATACAGTCGCCCAAGGTTCACAAACCCGGAAATATGCAGGGACTTTTCTGGATAATGTCTAAATCCTGGGCAACCCATTGACAGCAGCAAACAGACCCCGGCCAACACCAGGAAGACCCTCAGCCAGACAGCCGACACTACTGATGGCAGCTCTTGAAGTCCTGATGAGAAGTCTTCCCGGCGAAGGCGAAAGAGCCATCCACCAGGGAGGAGGTGCTTCGGCAGCCCCTATTTTGCGACTAATGGCTCAAGGACAGGTTGGGCAAGCCATGGACTTTGACGGGGCGGGACAGCCAATGGGCCACTTGGGTAGAGAGAGGCGTCTGGCAGATCAAGCATTCCTGGGACGACAATCACAAGCGGTGGAAAACTCACATGGAGCTCGGAGACCTGCCGAAGGGCAGCCACAACCTGCAATCTTTTTTTTTTTTTTTTTTTTTTTTT